TTTTGCCCCCCCCCCCCTCCCTCCCTCACGGGTATCGAAACCCAAATTCTAGGGTTGTAAGTCCGCAGATATACCGCTGTGCCACTGGGGGGGGCGGATATTTGTCAAGTTATTATTACTTTTTGTTTTTTGCTACTTGCAAATCCTATTTTATGAATATATAATGAATTAATACATTTTGGTCTAAAAACTTTGTGTTTATTAGCCGTTTAAAAAATGAAACAATTTAAAATATTTCAAATAAATTAAAAAATATACCTATATTTTATTATGCTGGTAACGTTTTACAAATACCCTACTTATGATTTTAAATTATCTAATTGAAGAAGTAATGTTATTATATTTAATAATTATTTATAACTTTTAAGCAATAAAGATCAACCGGTAATATTTAATTAAGGAGAAATATGATATCACACCAGAATATGTCATTAAGGATAAAATAGAAACACACCTGAATATGTCATTAAGGATAGAAACACACCTGAATATGTCATTAAGGATAAAATAGACACACTTGAATATGTCATTAAGGATAAATGTAGAATCCACCCATCACCAGAATATCCAGGGGCGGATTGGGAGCCTAAAACGGCCCGGACAAATACTCAAAAATCAGGACGATATATATATATGTATATAGAAAAAGAGATGTACAGTTGGTTAGTCAGTAGCACTGGGACAGTACAACCAGGTTATCACCCCACTGGCCCAGGCGTCATCGACCCGGTGTTCCGGCCCAATCCGACCTTGAGAATATCTCATTAAGGATAAATATGGAGTCACACCAGAATATTTCAGAAATAACAGGTTTATCTCACGTGACTAATTGTGATTTAATACAGGTTTATCTTACGTGACTAATTGTGATTTAATACAGGTTTATCTTACGTGACTAATTGTGATTTAATACAAGCTTATCTTACGTGAATATTTGTGATTTAATACAGGTTTATCTTACGTGAATATTTGTGATTTAATACAGGTTTATCTTACGTGACTAATTGTGATTTTACTTTTGTATGTAGACGTTCGAACGTCTATATTTATTAACATGTTATAAGCATAAATATTTGATTTAATATTTCGACGAATAGGTATTATATATTTATTGTTTATTTTAGAATAAGACTTTATGAATAAATGTAACATTCTTAATAAAGAGATAAAACAAAACATTTCCCCAGAGTTTAATTTGCATCACATATTTATATATAGAATTTTTATCAATTTCATCAAAATATTACTTATCACTTATAGTACTCGTCTTTTTTTTTAGCCCAAGTTACGACCTTCTATACGTTTGTAAGCCTTGTCGAATCGGCTGTGAAAGTTGTGTAGACAATTCACCGTGTCTATCCCCCTACAATTGGGCTTTCCGGTGAGTCAAGTTTTATTTGCGCTAAAAACACCTTTTAAAAAATATGTTTACTTAACGTATGACAACAAGTGGTTAAACAATGGAGAAAAAGTTAGAGTACTTGTATGATAAGCGTAAAACGTTTTAGAAAAATAAACCTGATATGACGAAGCATACTCTAAAATATCAAATTATATTAGCAAACAAGAGGGAATCCTCAATAGCCGCGGCACTTGAAATTCTTTTAGGCAGGATTAGAGTAAATTAATTTATAACCCTATTACGATTATTTCTATAACTACTTCAATGTGTGTCAGAACTCGAGAACAACTCCATCATGCACCCTTCCGCTGTACCTGAGCACGTGCATAACGTTTGGTCCCGCTAGTTTGAGAGTAGGGTATGAACACAGTTTCCAACTTGGCCTCCCCAGGATCCCAAGGAGGACCAGGAACACAATATCGATGCAAAATTCGAGTTCACTGACCCTGAAAAGTTTCCTCTAGACTCCTGTTGTATCGGGGTGACTTTCTGGGCGCATTTTATTTCGTGTAATAAAGTGTTTCGTGTTTTGTCTCTTTAAATCATTTTGTTGGTATTCTCGTTTTTATTTGTATTTATCAATCGTGTAAGGTTGATTTCAACTAAAACATAGAGGGGGAAATGGACAACTGCCATTCTTAATTTCAGTTTAATTTGTATTTCATTTTGAACAACTCAGCTTTTATTGTCTTGTGACCTGGTACATTTGATTCTTATAGAGTTCAAACTAAGGTCAAAAAGTCACCAAGCTAGAGCAGCCTGCATGAAACGTTAACGAACATTGGAGCTGGTTTGTGGAATTGATGCGTACATGATCATAGTTCGGTGACTGAGCTGGGAAGAGAGCGTCCAATCAGATTCTCAGCAGTACAACCTGCAACTTATTCTGTATCATTAATGGATAACCACAAGTCAATAAGCAACATTAATAAGAAAGATATTTCTGCTAGTAATGATATCCGGCAAACTTTGTGAATAGATCGTGAGATATGTGGCTGCAATTATTTTGAAAGGAGATTCTATTTTTGTATACCGTAAGTTCAAATAGTTTTGAAACTAATAATCATGGTCCTAAGACTAAAACTATCATGTTTTCTTCAGGTGTGTGTGTCAGATCTATAGCTAGACAGATCTGCAAACCAAATATTTCGTACTGCAAACAGAATTGTGAAAAAAGCAGTAACTGGCAAAATTTGTACAAAACAGCTTATATGTTGGATTGAGTGAACTTGAGAAAGCTCTACTTCCCAGTTCTCATCAACACTTAACTCTTAAAAAACGATAAATATTAAAACCATTGCATTCTGACTGAACTTTATTATCCTGGTGGCAGTTCGCACCACCAGTTTTGTCTAAGTAAGTGTTGTTTGACAACACAATCTTTAGTCGGGTTTAACATGAACTAAGCTGGCTATTGTGAATTAGCATGTTATGTTCGTTACAAATGAGTAGAATAAGTGTTGTTTGACAACACAATCTTTAGTCGGGTTTAACATGAACTAAGCTGGCTATTGTGAATTAGCATGTTATGTTCATTACAAATGAGTAGAATAAGTGTTGTCTGACAACACACTCTTTAGTCGGGTTTAACATGAACTAAGCTGGCTATTGTGAATTAGCATGTTATGTTCGTTACAAATGAGTAGAATAAGTGTTGTCTGACAACACACTCTTTAGTCGGGCTTAACATGAACTAAGCTGGCTATTGTGAATTAGCATGTTATGTTCGTCACAAATGAGTAGAATAAGTGTTGTTTGACAACACATTCTGTAGTCGGGTTTAGTATGAACTAAAATGACTATTGGCAATTAGCATGTTATGTTCGTTACAAATGAACACTTAACGCATTCCTTCATTTTGCCGGTTTTAACTGATGAACGTTTTCAACGTGAATAAAATGAGTGGAAATATGTCGATGGTGCACTATATTGGACCATTGTTGAATGAAATTTTTACACTTGACAAAAATAAACACCCACTTGGAATATACGTCTAAAATCAGTCACTTCTTTGATCTACTTTCAGAACCTCTCTTCTGGTGATCTCCATGTTTTGCGTCGTGTTGACCATCGTTCTAGCCTGGAATATTTATCGTTACAGGAAACTGAAAGTCATCAAAGTAGCTAGTCCTATATTCCTGTGTATCACCCTCCTTGGCTGTGCCATTATGTACTCAGAGGTATATTTCCATTTTTGTTTCCTCCAAAGGTGATATTTCTAAAATCACTGTTTACAGAAATTTTAAGAAAAAGACGGATCTATTTGCAATAAAAACTAATATATTTTTCTCTTATTTACTTTTAAAAAAGGGCCCGGCATGGCCAGGTGGTTAGGGTGCTCGAC